ATGCTAATTAAGACAAATAGTAACAACAGAACGTGAAAAGGTGTAAATTAAAAGGATAATTTTAGATTTATAGGTGTTCTGCAAGTTTCCCCACTAAATTTGAACACTTTTACATGTAGCTTCAAAAGCACAAAACCTGTATGGGAGAATGGTCCTAAACCTGAAACAGTTTGTATAACATGTTATCGGTCAAGAATCTTGAAATTTTACTTCTCTGAATTAAAACGGTTCAAGCTAGTTTATTATCACCCAAATTCATCCCAAATCCGTTTTTTATACTTACTCTGTTTATGCAATAGATTATATGCCGTCATATTTTGTCCACTCATCAATATCTGAGACAAATTTTGGACTTTATCTCAAGATATACCTTACATTTTAGAAAATCGAAAAAAAGAAAACCCCGAAGTTCGCGGAGACAGTTCGTTACGTTAATTTTTAACACATTAACTAAATTATTTTAATATATTAACTTAATGGATTTTAAATTATTAAGTATGCGAGTCTATTGCGACACAACTGAAAGTTAATACGGTGGATATTTCTTGTTTACCATATTCACAATTTTCACCGGTGAATCCAGAGGTGCATAAACAGCGATATCCTTTACTTGTAAAACCGGATTGACATGTCGCGTTGTTTTTGCAAGGACTTCTGCCACAAGCACTCTTAAAAACGAGAAAATAGTTCATGTTAAACAAGAAATCACACTTGTTTTGCTTATCATGCGGGCATATGGCAATCTAAAGTTACCGTTAGGACATAAAGGTAGCTCGTTAAAGGAACGCTTTTTTGATCCGTTTACAAATAAAAGATACTGTGAAACATTTTTTTTATCTGGTTTGCTTAGATCTGTTCTAGAAACGAATTCACACAAAGCATCGTTGCTTATGGGGTTATAACTTTAGTTGGTTTTAACAAGTTAGGTCTTTGTTTAAGCATCTACATCCATACACAGCTGTAACAATCTTTGAGTTCTTAATATTTGTTGCTTTAAATGATACGAAATATACCATTTATATTGCAACTTATTCTTACATTTGTTCCATGATACAGATAATTCTCTGCTTTCTTCAAGTCCTTCTCGTGCTCTTTGTGAGTTGAATTATTC